CCCCCCCCCCCGCTGTAGCCAAGGTCACCCTCACCCATTTCATGCCCCAAAGAGGGTCGGACCCTCTCCATCACGGACCACATCTGGACGTGGCCCCAGGCACAACCGGGAAAGGGTTAAGCGCCGCCGTTGTTCCCCGTTGGCCGGGTGGGACGTGGGACGTGGGACGGGGTGCACCCTAGCTCCTTTGAACTCCGGAGTCGAAACCAGTCCCTGGTTAAACTGGTTGGCAGACCGGTTCCCAGGCTGTCCGCTCCACCCCAAAGCTCAATGCTCCTCAGGCGGGCACTGGGTGGGGGGCTGCGGTTCCCTCTTTACCTGAAGGGCCCCTCCTCAGGGTGGGGGGTGGTCACTGGCCCCACCTTGGGCCAGGCTCTCCAGACCCACCCACCCTCAGACATCTCCATCGCTTAGAGGTAGGCTTCGGGGGCTGTGAAATCAGATGCCAAGTTCCACGTGCGTGGGCAGAGCGGCATTTGATTTTCTGATACTGGACCATGCTCCTATTGTACTCTGCAAAGTACCACTTCATGCCCCTTCCTCCAAACTTCCAGGGGTCCATTGCACGGGCTTTTGGTGGATGTTATAAAGGGGGTAACACCTGGGGCCAGCTTTCTGGGAAGGAGGAGAGACGGGGCTGTGGCGAGGCTGGAAGACAGGGAAAGGCGAGAAGGCAGAGCTTGCTCGGGCAGGGGGCGACATCCTCACGGATCCCCTCACTGACCCACCCCCTCCTGCAAACCTGCATTAGCCAAGGTGGTGCGCAGCGTTCACCCAGGGCTGCTTTCGCATCAGGCTCCGAACCTTGGAGCAGGTTATTTTGCCGCCCCCCTCAGGTGGCCCGTCTGTGCTGGCATTCTCTCCCCTAGGACAGGCATCGCTGGAGAGCGAGGAACATCCCCTGTGTGTTCAGTGTCCCTGCAGCTGTGTGTCCCAGTGCGGCCTGGCTTAGATGCCCAATTCACCCACCCAGCTCCTTCCTCCAGGGTCTGAGTGTGTGCCAGGCTCTGAGCCAACTACTGGGTAGAGAAAAGGCAGACGATCCCCCTTTCCTTGGGCTCCTAATCCCCTCAACCAACTCCCAAACTAACCACCTCTCACATCTGCCCTACCATTTCCAACCCTGTTTCTACTTGGTTCAACTTCTCATGGCCTTGTGAGTTCATATTCTCCTCCTTCCTCAACAGCCCCCCTACCTCTAGGCCTCAAGTGGACAGTCCTTCAAAGGCCCCCCTTGGCCCATAGTGGAACCCACTTGGCCCAGCCCTCTTAGGATGGGCCTCTGCAGCTTCCTCTCCCAACGTGCCATAAATCCTCTCACTAGTTCCTTTCTCTGCCTACCTTCCTGGCCAAAGAAGCTGGGATTAGGAGTGCGTGCTGTGTTCCTGCTCGGGAATGACCTCCTGTGTAAACTAAGACAAACTTGGGGGGCCTGGGTGGCTCAGTCTGTTTGTTAAGTGCTGACTTCAGCTCAGGTCATGATCTTGCAGTTCGTGAGTTTGAGCCCTGTGCTGGGCTCTGTGCTGATGGCTCAGAGCCTGGAGCCTGCTTTGGATTCTGTGTCTCCGTCTCTCTCTGCCCCTCCCCTGCTTGTGCTCTGTCTCTATCTCTCCAAAAAAATGAATAAACGTTAAAAAAAATGTTTAAACCAAGATAAACCCCTATTCATCCCTCAAGGCCTGAATTAATTATTACACCTCCTATGCCACCAGGAACTTTTTTATTCCTTCAGAGTTTGCTCATATGCTATTTAACATGATATATACCATGATTGATCATATGGGTGTATGTACATACATATATACATATATAGTATTGTAATGATCTATTCATGTATTTGGCTCCCTTAGAGAATTTTATCTCCTTGAACCAAGAATTATCTGCCACAGATTCAGACCTGACATAGTAGGGACTTAATACAAGCTTTAAAACGCAAATGAGAAATAGAAGTCTTGTCTTTACCCTAAGAAATTCTTAATCTAGCTTGTTTGCCTTTTTCCCACAGTCCCTGGGTCAGGCAAATGTGAGACAAAGCTCATGTGATTTCAGCTACAGCAGGCTTGCTGTTAATTATCATCTTCCCAGGGGTTTATGTGAACTTAGGATATTATTTTGCAAGGTCCGCCTGCCTCTAGTAAGAAGTCTACTTCTTGGGGTGCTGGCTGGCTTGGTCGGTGGAGTGTGCGACTCTTGATCTCGGGGTTGTGGGCTTGGGCCCCACACTGGGTGTGGAGATTACTTGAAAATAAAATCTTATAAGGGCACCTGGATGGCTCAGTCAGTTGAGCATCTGACTCTTGATTTTGGCTCAGGTCATGATCCCAGAGTCATGGGATCGAGCCCAGAGTCAGGCTCCACACTTGGCATGGAGCCTGCTTGAGATTCTCTCTCACTCCCTCTGCTCCTCTCCCCCACTCACGTGTGCTCTCTAAAATAAATAAAATGAAAAAATAAAAATCTTATTTTTTAATTTTTTAAAAACATTTTTTAATGTTTATTTTTTTGAGAGAGACAGAGCATGAGCAGAGAAGGGGCAGAGAGAGAGAGAGACACATAGAATCCGAAGCAGGCTCCAGGCTCTAAGCTATCAGCACAGAGCCTGACGCGGGGCTTGAACTCAAAAACCATGAGATCGTGACCTGAGCCGAAGTTGGACGCTTAACCGACTGAGCCACCCAGGAGCCCCTAAAAATACAAATCTTTAAAAAAATAATATAGCTGTCCCAGGAAGGTGCCCACAGCTTTCTAGATCCATCACTTTCTCTGAAAGCCCCATCTCTTTGAGAATGGACATCCCATCTAGAAGAGAACAGAAGAGGCTAAACACTCATCCCAGCTCAAGTGTTGGGAAGACACTGGAGGGTCAATGAGATGGTCACTACCTGGGGTACAGCAACCAAGGGTCAGGGCACCATTTCCATCTTTATTAGAAGGGGCTCCTCCTGGAAGCACTCCTGCCCACACTCCCTGACTCCAAACTCCAGAACTTTCTGATGCCTGGGACCTGGGGAGGGTGGGTGCAGAATCCTGTTCTCTGATTCCCACACTGCAGAAGGAGCCCGAATGAGAACTGCAGTGGGCAGGATTTGGTGGATGCCCACCTGTGGCCGGCCCCTGGAGAACACCACCAGAACCAGGTGCGGGCCGTGGAGTCTCTGGCCCACCCTCCAGACAGGGACCAGCCTGGGAAATCAGGCCCCACCCTTGGCCTTTAGATTTATTTCTGGGAGGAGCTGGGCTGGGAGGGGAGTTTGAGATAAGGCTATAAACTATGAATATTTTCTAAACAGGCCACTTTATTGCTTTATGGTGTTTTTTTTTTTTAACCTTTAAATGCACCTCCCTAAAACCAAGTTCAAGTATAATAATTCCACATACAAACATGCAACGTGCACGTTTTCAGAAATTTGCCCTTGTTGAGTGAAGGAAGTAAAATACACCTAGGGAGCCCCAAGGATCTTGGGGCCCTATTGTGGCACGAAGACACAGGGACCATTGGGTTACAGTTGCAAGCAGTTCAGGGGGCCTGATTCTAAGTCCTGAGCTGCGGAAGGAGAGATGACGAAAAGAGCTGGAGAACGTGTAACCCTCCCCACTCCAGACCCAGTGACCCCAGTCCCTACTCATTACTAAATGGCTGCCTGCACATGTCACACCTCTTATTCCTTTCTTTACAAGCAGCCAATAAGCACCTGATTTCAATGTCAGGTATCATGCAGCTGGGGTTACCCAGATGAACAAGCCTGTCCTCGCTGCCCACAAGGTGCTCACAGATGATGTTCGGAGGCAAACTAAAGAAAAACTAGTCTCCGGGGCTTTTAGCCCAGCAGGCAGACACACACACACACACACACACACACACACACACACACACACACAGCATGGCTGTGAGCAAACACACAGAAAACACGGACCATATAGTAATAAACATATGGTGGATAAAAGAAATGGATTATTTGAATGTCAAGGGTAAGCCTTCTTTTTATGGCTATTGCAGGAAGATAAGTAATAGGTGTTCTTGCCCAGAATGAGGTGTGGTAAGAAGGAACTTTGGAAAGGGGCAGGGACTGCAAGGGTGGGGGTTCCAAGCTTCTGGCACAACAACTGGGGGGAAAGATGGGAATCAAGCCAAAGCGGAGGGAGAAAGAGACCCGGGGCTGAGATGGCCAAGCAGAGTGAATGGGGTAGGCAGGGCCTCGGGAGAAGCCACATCCCACGGAGAACAAGAATGCAAGCTGGGGAGCCAGACAGGCCTGGGTTTGAATCGCAGCCCCACCAACTACCAGCTGTGTGAACTTGGACAAGTTACTTAACTAAGCAAGATCTGGCTAATAATAGTACCCACATTATAAGGTTGTTGGAAGGATCAAGTTAGATAAAGGCTTGTAAAACATCTACACTGTCACGTGGCACACGGTTATCACTTAATAAGAAAGCTAACAACAACAACAAAGGATAGTCAAGCAGCCTGCCTGCAGGCCGCCCCGGGGCTCCGTGCTTTCCTGTCCAAAGCTGGCACAGGCCTGCTATGCCCTTCTCCACCTCCCCAGTGTCCCATCTGCTAAATCCTCAGAAGATCATGAGGATCACAGTGAGGCATCCCACATGCCACCTTCCGACTGCTGGAAGACCCCCAGGACCCGATGCCCCGGATGCCAGACCACATATGTGCTTCTCTGCCCATAGGCCCCGAGGTTCTCTGTGGCTTTTGGAAAAGGACAAACACTGCAGAATGCCGCCCCAAACCCACACTCCTGTGCTGTCTAGGGCAGCCACCCTGAGCTGAGGCCAGCGGCCGGGCAGAACTATTCTCAAACATCCTTCTGTTCCACATGAGTCACCCCGGGGAGCTGTGGGTGGGGTGAAATGCTGGTGGTCTCTGCCTCCACCAACTCACCCTGTCCTGCTGTGCCCCACCTGTTGGTTCAAGGAGGAGAGATGCACCTTGAGGGTGGGGCAGGGCCATGTTTCTTGGGGTGTCCCAGGGAGCCAGGAACACATAGTTGGAGCCCAGTAAGTGTTTGTTTAATCATGGGGGGGGGGGGGAGTCCCAGCAATTCTTACAGCCTGAGTCAGGACTCTGAGATGGGAGCCAAATTCCCATGAGAGAGCCCTGAAGAGGCCCTTAGTTCTGCCCAGTGAGCTATATCCAGGGAAATCTTTCAATCCATGTTGGAATAATGATGATTAGAGGCACCTGGGTGGCTCAGTTGGTTAAGTGCCCAACTTCGGCTCAGGGCATGACCTCCTGGTTCCTGAGTTCGAGCCCCTCATCAGGCTCTGTGTTGACAGTGCAAAGCCTGCTTGGGATTCTCTCTGTGTCCACCTCTCTTTCCCCCTCCCCTGCTCTCTCTCTTTCTCTCACAAATAAACAAATAACTTAAAAAAATTTTTTTTAATTAATGACGATTAATGTTTCACACACAGACACGGTCTTCAAAGCATGAGAGATATATTAAAGCATGTTGTAAAATGCAAAGTGTTATATACGTCTAGTATGTTTATTTATGTAAGCCTATAAACAGAAATACCAAGATAGTCAAGATAGGTGCTAGCTCCATGTTAAGGAAACTGGCTGGCAGAGAGGTTATGGAAATAGTCCAAGATCTCCCTGGATGGAAATCTAGGTCTTCTTGTTGCTATAGCACACCACACAGTTCAAGAACAAATTTTTCTGAGCCCCAAGTGCTGTGCTGGGGCAGAAATGGGGTGGGGTGGGGATGGTCCTTTCCAAAGAACCAGCCAGAGCCTCCTGGAGGAGCTAACATCCTGGAAGGGGAGGGGCCCCAAATGGCACACCCAGCCCTGTGAGGTCCCTGGTAATCTATCCTGGGCCCACCCAGTCTCTTCCTCACTCTACCCACCTCTTGCCCAATCTCATGCCTTCCCTCAGCCTCAGCCAGCATGTGAACTTCAGATCAGTCAGCTTGTGGCTCTCCAAAGCTGCACCCTTAGCCCCAGGGCTCCCCCTGAACTCCAAAGCTATAGACCCAAGTGTCTCTTGCACACTTTTTTTACATGGGGGCCTCCCAGCACCACTAACCTGGTAAGTTCAAAGCCAAGAACCCCGCCTCCCCAATACCTGGTCAGCATCCTGCATCCCTGTCTCAGTTGGTGGCACTCCTAATCCAGCCACTTTACATGTCATCCTTGCTGTCTATCTCCCCCATCCACACACCCACTTGATGGCCAAGTTCTGTCCATTTCCCTCCAAAACATCTCTCAAATCCAGCCCTTCCCCTCCTCCTCATGCCTTGTCCCAGGTCACTGACCTCTGCATGATAACTTCCAGATAGTCTCCCTGTCTCCAGCCTTATCTCCCACGAAACCATCCTCCTTGCAGTTGATTTGAACAGGTCCCTCCCTGCTTCAAAACCCTTCAAACCCTCCAGTGGTTCCTCTCTGTCAGCGGAGGTAAAGTCCAAGTTCCCTAATGAGGCTCCTCCCTATGATATGACCTTTCCACTTTTACGGCTCTTCTCTGGCCACTACTTGCCACAAACCTTTTACTGCACAGAGGCTGGCCTGCCTTCCCGGCCGCCTTCATGAGTGTGAGACCTGATGCAGGGCCCCTCATGAAATTCTTCAACTTTTTAACAAGGGGCCCTACATTTTCATTTTGCCCTGGACCCCACCAATTATGTTGCCAGTCCTGCCTGCCTGTTGTTCCTTGCACCCCTCTTGCAGTTTGTGGCCTCCATAGCTTTGTCTGGACGGTCTCCTCCACCCGGAACACATCTCCCCACAAGCCCCTCTTTGTGTAGCCCTTCCTTTAAGATTCATTTGAGGTGTTCTCTTTGGAATGCCTCCCTTGACCCTCCTTCCACCCCTTTCCTGTCCAATCACACAACACATAGCAGGTGCTCAACACATGTCTATCAGATAAATTGAATGGGAAGGTAAAGTGTGACAAGTGCCACAAGTGTGCGACGAACAGTAAAGCCAGGCAAGGCAGGAAGAAGGCATTTCTAACGGCTTACAAGGCTCTAGGGTCGGCGCTAGGACCCTGTCTGCAAGCACAGTAATGCCTGCACCGTAAACCCCGCGCCCACCTGGCCGGAAGCTTCCCGGACCAACTCTCCGGCGCCGTCTGCCGTGATCTCGCAGCCCCTGCAGCCTTTTCTTGGCGTCCCCGCCCTTCTCCAGCTTTGAGCCCGCCTCGCGTCTCCCATTGGCTGTCTTCGGTTCTCCCGCCCCTCCCGGGCTCAGCCATTCGGAGCCCCGAGGTGGGTGGGGCTTGTGGCCAGGGGTGGAGCGCGCGCCCCGATTGGCTCGGAGGAAGATGGCGACGTGGCCCGAGGAGGTCCGACCGTGCCAAAACTGAGGCTCGGCCAGGCCTGCGCTGGATTGGTTGTAGGTGGGGCTGACTTGGGTCGCCGGCCGGAAGCGGAAGTGGAGGAAAGATGCAGGTGTGGAGACAGGAGCTGGGGGAATGGGGCACTAGTCTGTCACCCCTGGACTGAGCTCAACCCGTCGGTCCCAGACCCGCTTCTCCGGCCTCCCTCTCGGGTTCGGCCCTCCCCGGCCCAACATTCTGGCCCCTCAAGGTGGCGGTTGGGCCCCGGAAATAAGCGCGCGGGTGGCACGCCCCCTCCCCGCGCTCAAGCCCCGTTTCTCGCTGTGTTTCCCGCCAGGACCATCAGCACGTGCCCATCGACATCCAGACCAGCAAGCTGCTCGGTAGGAGGGGACGCCCCGCGCAACCGCTGTCAGGGGGAAGCCCGGCCCATTGCCTCCTGTTGCCAACAGCTGGGAGCCGTGACGCCCCAAGGCCCCTGACCACTCGCCCTGTTCTATGCCCTCTGCGGTGGCTACCTGCCGGCGCTAGGAAGAGCGGGAAGGAACCATTCTTAGTCTGTACTTGACCTGCGTCTTCTACTAACACGTCATTCCTAACACGTGTTGTAAGGTCATTCAGGCATCAAGAGAGTAGTGGCTTACTTTAAAGACGGTCAGCTACTAAGCAGTAGATCCGAAATTGGAACTTAAGTTTGTCAGCCCCAGGGTCGATGCTTTTTGTATGAAAAAAAAAAAAAAAACTTACTTTCCTTTCGTTTTAATTCTTTTTAAAAATTTTTTAATTATTTTTGAAGGAGAGAGAGACAGAGCATGAGCGGGGGCGGGAGAGCAGAGAGAGAGAGAGGGAGACACAGAATTCGAAGCAGGCTCCAAGCTCTGAGCTGTCAGCACAGAGACTGATGTGGGGCTTGAACTCACGAAACTGTGAGATCATGACCTGAGCCGAAGTCAGATGCTTAGCCGACTGAGCCACCCAGGCACCCCTACCTTCCTTTCATTTTAAAAGCTTCCATCTCCGCTTGATTTTAGGAGGAAGAGAGACAGAGATCCAATTGGGAATAAAGAACTTTTAGTGGCCAGGCCATCTCCCTGCTGCCAGTATCTGATCTCTATACCTCCTCAGTTCAGAGCCAGGCAAGGACCTCTTCATTATGACTTTTCCAGGGCGAGTGCACAGCTCCTGGATTTTAAAATGCTCATTGGATCAATTGATTTGATGCTAGTTTAGTCATTAAGATGACCTCTGTTTGACTACCTCGTCCCCTTCTAGTTCTATGACATCTACAGAATTTTTCTCTCTGAAGATTTTAGAGGAATACAGCAGAAACAGTGTAAGTGATAGCTAGCGTGGGACCCCAATGTTTGGCTAGTTGGCAGGTGTATTAACAAAGGCAAGGTTCTGGACTCACCATTGTGGACCATTCGGTCAGTTCTGTGCAGTGGCCACTTGATGGAGCTTCTTTAGTGTCCTTTCACATTTGTCCCAGTTCTGCAGCACCTGTGCACTCTTGCTGTATGAGCTTGTCACTGGTCATGGGAAGGACCAATGGAACAGCAACCATTCATTCAGAGTTGGCTCTACCAGGTGCTGTTTTAAGCACTTGACATTGTAAAAATGATTTTTACTAGGATTTATCGAGTCCTTGCCATGTGCTAGGCACGGTGCCCCATGTTTTACTTTTATTCCCTCTTGTGTCCAGTACCGTATTATCCTCATCTTACATGTGGGGAAACCAAGGCACAGAAAGGTTAAGAGATTTGCCTAAGCAAATTGATAATCAGAAGCCAGGACCATGTGATCGCAAAGCCTAGCTCTTAGTGCTCTCCTCCTGAGGAAATGTACATGGCTCTCATCCCCCCACCCGCTCTACTAAAAACACAAATCTGGGCTCAGATTCCAGGAGGTCAGTCATATTGGTATTCTCGTGGTGCCAGGTGTTACCTAGTCTGCAGGGCGCTGTAGGTATTAGGGGCTTTGCAGTTGTTCATTCATCCGGTACTTGGCATAATCATCTTGTATTTTCCATTGTCACGATTAATCCCAGCCCTGAGGAAGTGGAAGTTGAAAAGCATCCTCTGTCAGTAAGAAAGATATAATTACTCATGGAAGCAAAAATATTATGGAGAATTTAGAGCGGTCAAAAGTGGCACTTTGATGTCAGGACTAATTCACAGTTTTTCTTTATCCCTGCACGGAGGCAGTTGCTCTATAAAAGTCACACTGCGATGAAGTCAGGTTGCTGGAGTCTGTTTAACGCCAAGGGTCCCTTTGAGGCTCTCTTTATTCCCATCTTCCCGTGATCCCCCACACCTTAACCAATATGAACACAACTTTTAGCCAGTGTCTTAGCGTATTTCACTTGAATTAGTGACGGCGTTTTGGCTGTCATGAGTGGGAATGCTATGATTTGGGTGTTTCTCACATAGACTGGCTGGTCGACAGACGACACTGCAATCTGAAATGGCAGAGTCTGGTGTTGACCATCCGAGAGAAGATCAATGCTGCTATCCAGGACATGCCAGAGAGCGAGGAGATCGCCCAGCTGCTCTCTGGATCCTGTGAGTGATTTGGGACTACATTACCGGAGCCCCGTCTTTCCTGGAGCACTGTATATCAGCCAACCTCCTCCCTTATTGTTTAGCTTTAGGACTAATCCCTAGAGAAAGATTTATTTGGGGGGGGGGGTACATGCTAGTTTCTTCCAACACACAATGGTGAAGGGGAAAGCTATGCATGCTAAGATTCTCAGCACATTCATCAGTCAGCCATGTGCCCAGCATAGTGGGCAAGATACTATAATTCCCAGAGTCTTTGCTCTTCCTTGCTCTCTAGACATTCACTACTTCCACTGCCTAAGGATCGTGGACCTTCTCAAAGGCACCGAAGCCTCCACAAAAAATATTTTTGGCCGGTACTCTTCACAGCGAATGAAGGCAAGTGTGGCTGAAGCCGCTTAATGTGCAGCCAGACCCATCCGGTCTACAGGGTCAGAGCCTCTGGTCTCGCTGAGGGTCCGGTGGAGATGCCTACATAGCATATTTCCTGAGCTTTCTGTCCATCCCCAAAGTTTATACCAAAAGTAGATCCTACCCCTGGGTTTCCATTTTCAGGCCTGCTGCTTTGGGGAATGCTCATTGGCACCACGTTGTTAAAATGAAGTGGTCCAGCCAGCGTTATGTAGAAAGGCAAGGGGTTTGCGTCTGATGTGATGTGAAAGCTGGGGGAGCTTCCCCTGTGTGCGGCTTGAGCTGAGATGTGGCTGCCCGAGTGCTATTCCGGCTCACTTCCTATTTCCGTTCTTACCCAGGATTGGCAGGAGATCGTAGCCCTGTATGAGAAGGACAACATCTATCTAGGTAAAGTGGCCCAGCCTGGGAGGCTGGAGTCCAGGGGCAGCCCACTCCCAGAGTTCTGGGACACTAGGCTTCCAGGAGGCACAGTCCGTGTGGGGGATGAGGTTGGGGTATGAGTGTTTGCCAGGTGGGCCAAGAAATCCCCCAAAGAGTGTTGGGAGAAAGCGGAAGACCAGGCAAGTAGGGGGCCTTTGCCGGGCCTGACCAGGCAAGTATGTATAGACCCAACACCACTGACCTCTTGGTGACCACCTCCCCCCTCTTCTCCACTGGGCAGAGGAAGCATGGGTCATCGGGGGGCCATATTGGATGCCTGAGAGTAATTACAGGGCCGATTGTACTTCGGGGTATGTTTCCCCCAAGTATTAATAATAATAGTTGATTCTTGCTGAGTATCTACTGAATGCCAGGAATCGTACTCCTGTTTCATGTGGATTCTGTTAGTCCTCATGGGAAATATTTTGGCCCCTGTTTTACAGAGGAGGACTGGATTGGAGAGGATAAGGTGGCTGTGTGAGGTTCCACGGCTGGGAAGGGGAGGAACGGGGTGGGCGGTGGGGG